CAAAGTCAGTTACAGTTAGTATAAAAAGACGTAAGAAAAAGACTTAAGAAAGACAAAACTGTGAACGTAGACAGCTGAGGCCTCACCCATACCAGAAGGAGGCGTAAGAGGAAGAGGCAGAGAAAGAAGTTAGAAATAATTAAAAGAATACAGTTTCACAGAAGCTAAGGAAGAAAAAAGTAAAACTGGTAAAAGAAACTTTCTGGGAGGGAGATTTGTAAATACATTTTCTAAAAGTACCCACATATAGGTCAAGTCCCAGGACTTGAGTAGGTGCTAGAGATTGGAGCTTTCTTTATAGGTAGACATGGATTCAAAGGTGAACCTACACAGAAATGGTTTCTCTAAGGAGCGCTTCTTCCTAGAGGCTAATGTAGCAGGACAAAACTCAAGATTTCAACCTTGGGAAGAGATGCCCCCACACCCCTTAGATAGCCAAGCAGGAATCAGAGGGGCCCAGGAAAATGGAGGTCACTGAGTCAGGCACAAAGAGTCTTCTATACAGTCCAGCACAGGACACTAGGGCTCTGGAGTTCACAAAGGGGTTTGAGGCCAAGACCCAGCTAGTGATGAAATCCTCCTTTGCCTGGCCTGTCTCCTGTGTACCAATCTCCCTCGGTGACCTAGCCATAGACTAGCTATGGCAGCACAGGGTTCAGGATGCTAGGACCCCATTCTCTCTAATAATTTGAAAGGCTGAGTTACAGGTATAGCCAACTGGCACCTGGGAAGCACAGTTTCACCTGGAAAGGGCAGAGAAAATCATCTTGATCACTACTCCTCAGTAGTTAAAACCTGGTGCTGGTGCTCATTTTTAGAGCCAGATAGTCTCCCTTCTAGAGTCCTAGCAAGCCCGCTGAGGGCTCTGGGATTGATGGATGGCCAGAACCATGTTCACTACCTTCAGGTTCTCTGTTCTTCATCCTGTCTCATCCAGAGCTGAGTGACCAGCATGTTCCTAAGCCTTAAAAACAGTCCTGCCCTGGCTGGCGTAGCTCAGTGGATTGAGCGCAGGCTGCAAACCGAAGTGTCGCAGGTTCGATGCCCAGTCAGGGTACATGCCTGGGTTGCAGGCCATGACCCCCAGCAACTGCACATTGATGTTTCTCTCTCTCTCTCTCTTTCTCCCTCCCTTCTCTCTCTAAAAATAAATAAATAAAATCTTTAAAAAACAAAACAAAACAGTCCTAACATTGGAAGACCTAGAGTGTGAGTTCTACCTCAGGAGTTAGTGAGTTTATAAAGGAAAGAAAGAGTAGTCAGCAAGGTCTATTAAGTGAGGATGGGTCATCTTAATTGAGGTGAAGAAAAAAATGAAATTATCAAGGGCCAGCTCAAGGGCCACAAAAGATTTTTTTTTCTTTTGTCCTGACCAGGAATTGAACCCCCCAACCTTTTGATGTACAGGACAACACTCCAACAAACTGAGCCACACTGACCAGGGTCACAAGAGATATTTTTAAAATATCCTTTTAGGTGTTCACTTCTGCAAGACATATACTAAAATGTCCTTTTAGGGAGGTAGGGGGAGGTAGAAGAGGGTAAAGGGAAGGCTAAATGGTGACAGAAGGAGACCTGACTTGGGGTGGTGAACACACAACACTATATACAGATAATGTATTACAGAATTGGACACTTGAAACCTATATAATTTTATTAGTCAGTATCATCCCAATAAATTCAATTAAAACATTTTTTAAATAAATAGAATAATCTATTAAAATGCCTAAAACATTCTGATTTCACGTATCTTTTAACTCCGAGCAAGGAGACAGCACAAAGATCCTATCTATTCTCAGTGGGCACATAAGGGACAGGATGAGAAATATCTTTGGCAGCAGTACTAACTCAGAAATCTTTGAAAGGGCATTTGTCAGTGCAGCAAATGTGGGAATGAAGTAGAACCACAACCTGCCCCCACCACGCCCCCAAAAAACAGGAATCAAAGGACCAAGAAATTTCAAAAACAGCCAATAACAGCAGTAAAGGTATAAAGGTCAACACGAGACTAAGAAACGTTTGGAATCCTTATGGCGGGTAAGAGAAAGAGCAGGAGATTGGAAATGGGGACGTGTCAGGCTATAAATGTTTGGAAAGCTGCCTGCTATAAAAGTGTATGTCTAGCTCTGGCTGGTGTGGTTCAGTGGACTGAGCACTGGCCTGCAAACCGAAAGGTCGCTGGTTCAATTCCCAGTCAGGGCACATGCCTGGATTGCAGGCCAAGTCCCCATTTGGGAGTATGCAAGAGGCAACTGATCAATATTTCTTGTGCGCATCAATGTTTCTCTCCCTCCATTTTGCCCTCCCTTCCCCTCTCTCTAAAAATAAATAAAACATTTTAAAGACTTATTTTATTTATTTACTTTTAGAGAGAGGGGAAGGTAGGGAGAGAGGGCAAGAAACATCAATGTGAGAGGTTTGGTTGCCTTTCACATGGCCCCAAATGGGGAACTGGCCCACAACCCAGGCATGTTCCCTGACTGGGAATTGATCCAGCAACCTCTCAGTTCACAGGTCAGCACTCAATCCACGGAGCCACACCAGCCAGGGCTAAAATCTTTTTTTAAAAAGTGGGCTATCAGGTTCATTACAGAGCAAAGCCTCAACTAATGCAGCATTGGCATATTCAGGTCACAGTGGCTAAAGAGGGAACACAAAGAGACATTTCAAAGTTTAAAACCCATGAGATGGCAATGGACAAAGGGAACAAAGCAGGCCTCAGGCAATACAAGAATCCTAATTGCCACCACTGCACGTCTAAATTCCATACAAGGACTGGGTTACTCTAACTTGCCACACAGAGAAAGAAAGCAATTTATATGATGTTGGAATTCACTTCTCTTGATGAGTGTCATAATTAACTTCTTGACAGATTTCTCCAAAATGACTTTTAAACTTCCAGGTCGTGGCCTCTGGTCAACTAATAAAGATCAACTTGCACCAATGTAAGATTGAACTTGTGTACCCTCTCTTTTTCTTTCTTCGATTTTATTTATGCTGGTTCTAAAGTTCTGTAAATATTTTATTTACTTTTAGAGAGAGGGGAAGGGAGGGAGAGAGCGAGAGAAATATCTGTCGATCAGCTGCCTCTCACATGCCCCAAACAGGGAACCTGGGCCCTGATCAGGAATTGAACTGGTAACCTTTTGCTTCGTGGGCCAATGCCTAACCCACTGAGCCACACCGGTCAGGGCTGTTTCTAAATATTTTAAGTGCCCTGTTTATCATCTAGGGTTTGGAAATATTGAACATAGGAAAGACTTGTGATTGGACTTGCTAAAGGAGGTATATGATCTGTCAATATGGAAGGCAGCCCCTCAACTGTAGACCCTAATCAGACACCTAAATATCCTTCTGAGTATGACTAAGTAGAAGAATTGGGGGCACATATAATTGGGGTCTTGAATTTCTCTGAGGAAATAAGAAATTGCTTAGATAATGAGGGGAGGTTTATCATTAAATTTTATAGGATAGCAACACATTTTCTTTCTTTTTTTTTTAGAGCGATTTTATTTATTTACTTTTAGACAGAGGGGAAGGGAGGGAAAAAGAAAGGGAGAGAAACATCAATGTGTGGTTGCCTCTGCCGAATCCCCTACTGGGGACCTGGCCCACAACCCAGGCATGTGCTCTAGACTGGGAATCCAACCAGCAACCCTTTGGTTCACAGGCCAGTTCTCCATCCACTGACACACACCGGCCAGGGCCAAGTTTTCTTATTAACATGGCATTATTTAGGCTATGCTATTCATTGCTGCATAACACATTTACCTTATCTAGTGAGCTTGGTAAGACACTAATGCTGAGGCTATTTCAAACGACAAGTAGAATACAGAATGACTTATCATGTGCCTTGTAATACATTTAATTAACATTCAGTCCTGCACCCTTGCAGAGGCTTCTGGGAGCACCAGCAAAGAGGCATTCATTCCTAAAGGTTTTAAGGGATTGATTTGCTTATCTCATTGATCCACAGCAGATACACAGGAAAGGCAGAGTCACTGGTGAAACAAACCCATGAAGGTGTGCAGGAAGGGCATTTCTGATTTCTCCCACACAACATGGTTAAAGGAAACCAAAATGTGAACAAAAAATTTAGGAACACTGGCCTCTAAGCAAAGCTCCAGGCACCTCTGATGTACCCCCTCCTTCACCTTCCCCCATTTCACTACCAAAGAAAAATACCAAAGGTGAAGCTCAAGAACAATTACTTCATCCCAGATGCTAGAGGCCTGTTCACTCTTTTGGGATGCTCTCCTTTGGGAGTGTCCCTTCTTCCCACAGGTTTCTTGGAAGGAGCTGCTCTTTTTACTGCTAGAGCACTCGGTGCATATTCCCCTTTCAGCGTGAACCTCTCAAGCCATTACTTGGAGAAAGGGAGACGAAGGCTTTGGACTCTGAAAAGGTGATGATAACACATAACACCCTTCCTTTTTTACTGGACTGCCCCAGTAAACTGAGTTGCATGAACAGAAATAACTCCGAGCCCTTCTTTGAATTTCTTTCGCGGAGAAGCGTCATGGCAACGCGGAATGGGAATTCACATCTGTCGAGCTGCTGGGTGACAAACGTTTTGCCTGCACACCTACCTTACTGATAACCCTGCGGTAATTTCGATCGTTACCCCTATTTACGAAGGAGAAAACCGGGGGCCTCGGAAAAGCGAAATATGTCATCCAGTGAAGTGGATCGGTAAGGTGTGGCTCCGGTAAAATTCTCAGCCGGGAGCAAGCTGGGCTCACGCCGCTGTTCCCCCGCGCCGCGAACTGCCAGGACACCGGCTGGAGACACTGACCTGAAGAGCCAAGAGCGGGACAGATCGCGGCCGGGCAACAGGGACAAAGGTGCCCACCTAAGGTTGCTGGCGAAGCGGCGAGTGGGAAGAGTCCCTCTGAGCCTTTAGGATCCTGTGGATTTAGCCGCTTCCGCCCGCCAAGAGAATCAAACCTCCCGGGCCGGAAGGGGCGGGGCGCGGCGGAGTTTGTAAGGTGGGGGCGTGCGTTCTTTCTCGGACCGGAAGCGGGAAGTGCTGGCCAGGCAGTGGGTGGTCAAGTGACCCTTGGGACCTGTGAGAGGTGATTTAAGTTCTTGGTCTTCAAACTGAGGTACGTCTGTCCCTGCGGGCATGTTGAGATTCTCTAGGTGGCGTGGACACACAAAGTTTCACATAATTCAACTTTCTTACGTTCTCTAAAACTGACCTGCAGAAAAGTCGCTAGTAGTCATGGTTCTCATTTTAGTACCCCCCTCCCAAATCTTACTAGAATGTGATGCCACGAGGAACAACAACACAAAACCCAGAGAGCAAATCGTCCATTAGATAATTCAAGGTACCAGAAACACCAATCCAGCATCATAATTGAAATTCTAATACACTTGACTGTTAGGCCATTATGTGATTTTCATTGCTGTATAAATTACGATCGTAATGATAACTTGATCCAAGAGAAAAAAAATAAAAAGCATAACCACAAGAAAGAAAAATATTAAGTATAAATTTACATATAAATAGACTTTTTCTGAGCACAGTTTTTAGGTTCAGGACAAATTTGAGAGGAAGGTACAGAGAGTTCTAACCACTCTGCCCCCACACACGCATAGCCACTCCCAAAATTAATATCCCCCACCAGGGGGATGTGTTACATGTGTACATGTGTTACAACTAATGAACCTCCATTGACATATGGTCACCCAAATATCATGTATATTTGAGGGGTTTACACAAATGTATGATGACATGTGTTGTGTAGCCGAGGTGGCTAAAAAATAGGACCCGGAGCCAGAAAAGTCCAATTAGGGGCTTTTAATGCAGGCGGGACAATGGGATCGATTGGGAGGGCTGGGTCGGGACAGCCCCAAGGGGAAGGGTAAAAGGGCTTTTCTGGTGTATAGCAGCCCCCCACCCCCACCCCCCGCCGAAGGAGGGTGAGTCACCCTGCTGATCTGCTCCAGGCGTACAGGGTATCTGATCAGGGAGGGCTGATTCTGTAGAAAGCTGGAGGGAGAAGGGAGAGGGCAATGAGGATTCCACCAGTTTCCAGCAGGATGCCGGCAGCTACACCTAAATTGCTTCTGATTTGGGGAATTTCGTGGTCAGGTATTTAGCCAGTGACGTGTCCCTTCTTTGTCCCAGCATAGGCGGTGGCTTAGGTCCATGTCCCAGTACATTCTAACAGTAATCACCATTATAGTATCATGTAGTTTTACTGCCCTAAAAAATCTGTGATCTGCCTATCTGTGAAGCTGTGTATATATGTATTTTTATCGCAGTGAACTACAATAGAGTGCTGGATAAAAGATTTTCAAGCCAAAAAATTACATTAATACTTTGTGGAGTGGAAGTATGAGTAAGGAGGAAAAAGAAAGAAAATAAGCAAGTATTTAAAAACAGTTTGTGTATTTTTGTTTATGCATTTTTTAATGAGTGATGCTAGGTACCAAATTACTTCACTATTTCCCATCCACTGGGTATCTTTAAAGGAGTGATGTTACAGCCTTACTTTGAGATGTTCACAATAATCCAACTTTTAAAAAATATACAGGGTGGGAAAAAGTAGGTTTACAGTTGTGAGTACACAAAACACTTATTCTTTTATTACTTATTGCACTATTTATTTGTATTACCACTGTAAATCTACTTTTACCCACCCCTGTATTTACAATAATCCACAAATTACATCCCTTCTGACTATTCAAAATTATGATGAAAAAATTTAGATGACTATTTAAAGTTTTTCAAAATTATTTTGAATGCACACATTCAAAAGAGTTTAAATATTACTGAATTAAGGAGAGTAATTACGCCACAATAGAAAACAGTTCGGCGAAAAGAGGCCGGGCTCTGTGGGCCTATTTCCTCATACGGACAATAAAGAGGTTGGATTGTAATGTTGCTGCTCCATTTCAGGAGTCACTAAGTGGGAGGGTCCGGCCATTTGGGATATAACATCTCTACCAATAATAATGCCATTAGCAACAATAATAAGACCCATTACAAATTTTTGAACTATTAATGTGCACTTACATGCATCATCGCTATAACTTAATTTCCACCCCTCTCACGCAGGGTCGTTTGTGCTGTTCATCCTTTCATCAGTCACCAGTATCTGCCCTATGCCAAGCCTCAGGGTAATGCCAGAGACAGGAAGGAAAGAGATGTGGCTTCTGCCCAACGTAACTCAAAGACAGAAGAGGCAGATCCATAAACAACTGTCTCTCACTAAAGCACCAAACAAGAAGTACTAGACAAAAATGAATGCAGCCATGCTGGTTAGAGCTCCAAGAGAGAAGCAATTATTTCTGACCAGGGAATTGAAGTATTTTGTAATGATGTTAGCCCCCCGCTGCCAAAAACATAAAATAAAATAAAACATCAGAAGAAAATTTCCTAGACAGTGAAAGCTATGCAGGCAGCAGCACAAAGGCAAGAAAACACAAGTCTCCTGGGAGAAAAGCATTTGGGGTGGAGCACAGAAGACTCGGTGTGGTGAGGGGGAAAAAAGTAAGTAAGGAGGGGACCCACTGTGAAGGCCCTTGTGTGCCCGGCTGGAGTTGAAAGGGGTGCTGACCAGGAAAAGGAGATGAACAGATACACTTCGGAGAAAGCCCAAAAAGCCACTCTGTTCAGCATAAAAATGAGACCTGGTGTCTTTAGCTGATCCCAGCCCAGTACCCAGTAGGAGCTCAAAAACTTTCTTTTTGAAGTATAGTGTGTGTGTGTATGTGTGTGCACGCACACACACTTAATTTTGAGTTTCAATTCCCATTCTTCCAAAGGAACAAATTTAATGTCTTTTGGAGTCCACCCCACAATTCTCCCCCAGCCCATTAAGATGATGGAAGTGAGCATCTGGCCTTTGGTCATCAGCCCATGCCAGTTGCCACCCCTGTTTCTCCTATTCCTGACAGCCAGGGCCCTTCTGGGCTGGAAGCACTCTCCCCTTCTGTGCCACATGTAAGAGCGTGGGAATCAGGCTGCTCCTTCCTTGGAGTCAAGAAATCCCCAAGCTTCAGCTTGGCCTCTTGGGGGCTCTGTCTAGAAGGCAGACTTGTCCCTCCACATACCACCAGAGTCTCTGTTCCTATTATTTTCCCCTTTGTCTTTTCTTTCTCCCAGCCCCAGGGAAACCTCTTCTTTATTTGAGGGTGAGGTTTGGGAAGCCCCTCTCTCTCTCTCTCAGAAAGATTTTATGTATTTCTGGAGTCCTCTTTAATCATGGAAGGGTACACATTTTGGATACCGAAGCAAGAAAGCCTCTCTGATTTTTCTTACATCTCTATTACACCCCTTCCCTGCGGGCACAGACAACCAAAAAAGTGGCACCTTGAATGAAGGAGAGAGTGAAGGGACGAGTTAAGGGGAGAGTGGTAAACTACATGGACAGAGGAATATTTATTGTTAAACATCTCAAAAAACTGTATTCCAGCACACATAACAACTGAGTACATTTTTAATGACATGTGAATGAATGAGCATCCACATTTGCCAGGAAAACAGTGATCCTACATTGTCTCCCAGCTTCAACTCAGCTGCAATACAGTGTGTGCCAGAGAGCCACGACCATCAGAAGAAAGGTCATCGGGAAGGTCATCTTCTACAGTAACTGGAGCCCACAGACCACCCTCCTTGAATACAAACAAATCTTGAAACAGCTTTAACTCTCAGTTCAGAAGCTATCCACACCTACCAGGATTCCCAGAATCCCTGGAGCTGGGTTGGAACATGGAAGGCCCAATCTGTTCATTCGGAGGAATATTTCTGGATTAAGGCAAGGCAGCAGGCCCCAGGTCAGGAAAGTTCAGGCCAGAACACTGGGACCAGATGGGTGCTGATCAGGCAACTCTGGGCCTGGCTGCCTGGCCTCTCTTTTGCACTCAGTAGTCCTCTTGCCTCCTGTGACAACTATTGTGGACCCCTCCCTGCCATGAGTTCATCACAGAAAAGCTTCCTTGGCTCTGCCTCCCCCATTGCAGGGCTGGCAGAGGACTCTGGAATGCACACAGAGCTGAACTGGAAGACAGAGAGAAGGGCTCGAGCGGTCAAAGAAATGGCCATGGCAGCATCAGAAGGCTTATGGGCAGTCCTCTGAAACCTCCAACCCCACAGCTGGGTCATCACTGTGCCCTTGGCAAAGCGTGCAGAGCCCTCCAGGAATCCCAGTCAGTTCATGCATCTTTTATCCCCAAGGCCCTGAGGGGCCTACACCGGGCCTGGGATTTTCAAAATCATGGCCAGGATTCTAAGGCTCTCCACTGAGCAAACTTGTACCAAGTGCTTGCTGTGTATAGAGACCGAGATGACAGTGATACCACTCACTCATTAACTGACTCAACAAATATTTACTGGCACCAACAAGTCCCTGCTCTCACAAAGCTTACCTTCTAGTGGGCAAGACAGAGAACAACCACATAAACAAAAATTATTTCATTTTTTACCTTGGCACTTATTAAAAGACTAAGTATGGTCCTGGCTGGTGAGCCCTGGCTGCTGTGGCTCAGGGGATTGAGCATCAGCCTGCAATCCAAACGGTCACTGGTTTGATTCTCAGTCAGGGCCTATGCCTGGGTTGCAGGCCAGGTCCCCAGTAGGAGAGGCAACCACACATTGATGTTTCTCTCCTCTTCCTCATTCCATTCCCCTCTCTAAAAATACATAAATAAAATATTTTGTCTTAAAAAGAAAGAAAACTAAGTATGGATGGGGGTAGGTAGAAAGTGATGTGGGGAGGGAGTTGACAAGGTAAGATAAGGTGGTCTGGAAAGGCCCCTCTGAAGAGGTAACGAGAGCAGAGGTGTGAAGGGTGAGAAACAGAGAGTCTGGGGAAAGAACATCCCACACAGAGGGGACCCCAGAGATAGGCTCGGCATGTTTAAATGGGCCTGTGTGGCTGGACAGAAGGGAGCAAGAGCTGAAGAGAGAAGGGAGGAGCCGACAGGCAGAGAGGTGGGAGCCACGGGCTTGCAAAGGGCGCTGCAGCTTGTGGAAGCGCTCGCTGCAATTTCATTCCAACTGTGATGCCAGGTCACACTTGGGGAATGACATGGCCTGATTTACATTTTTAAAAGACCAGAAGGCAGCTATGTGGAGACCTGACTGGAAAAGGAAGGGTTTAAGCTGTAAGGCCAGTCAAGAAAGGTATTGCTGTCAAAGTTGCTGATGGTGGCTTAGATCTGGGTAACAGTAGTGGGTGGTGAAAAGTTGTTGGGATGCTGGATGTATTTTACAGGAAGAACTCACAAAACTTCCTGATGGATTGGATCTTGAGGGGTGAGGAAAAGAGAGGAGTCGAGGATAATGTCAGGGTTTCTGAGCTGAGCAACTGGATGAATGGTGATGCCATCAACTCAGAGAGTTGTGTATAGGAATGGAGGTGGGAGGAGGTCTGGAATCAAGAACCCTGTCTGAGCCCTGGCCGGGTAGCTCAGTTGGTTAGAGTATGTTCCCAATATGCCAAGGTTGTGGGTTCAATCCCCAGTCAGGGCACATACAAGAATCAGCTAATGAGTGCATAAATAAGTGGAACAACAAATTGATGTTTCTCTCAAATCAATAAAATATTATTTCAAAGAATTCTTTTGAGGCTTATTAATTTTGCACTGGCAAGTAGGCAGCTAGGTATGTGATTCTGGCATTCTGGACATAGGCTGAGACCAGAGACAGCCTGCAAGTCATCTGTGCAGAAGCGGTATTTAATCTCCCAGATTAGATGAGATGAATAGGAAGAGAGTGGAGATAAAGAGGTTTGTGGATTGAACACCAGGACATGCCACCATGATGTGGTCAGGGAGAGAAAGAGTGGCTAAGAAGGGACACGGACAACCACAAGGTGACTGGGAAGCCTGGGGGGGCGGGGGGAGTGCTTCAAGGAATGTATCAAAAGCTGCTGTTAAATTAAACGTAAGATGAGAAATGGGAATTAACCCACTTAATTCCCATTTGGCCAAGAAAGGTGGCAACTGTGGGAACCTCTCAGTGAAGTGCTAGGGCACTTGCCTCACTGGAGTGGACAGAGGAGAAAATGAAAGCTGAGGAAGTGAGAAGCATCTGAGAAAATCCCAGCAGGAGACCCTCAGCTCCCATGTTTCAAGAGGCATCTTAATGAAGGTGCTATTCAGTGAGGCAGGTGAAGTAGGAAACTAAAGGGGAAGTTGAGACTTAGAGGAAATAGAATAGTGGAAAGTTGTTAAAACTCTGAGGCCCAAGGAGCAAGAGGAGAAATCGTATTAACTGAAGTTGGGGGAAGAGACACAGAAAGGGGCCGCTTGGAGCAGAAGTGGTTGTTGAGGGAAGTGGCACTCAGAAACACAGCAAGGTAGGGGAGAAGCAAAAGAATAAACTAGGCTAAATTCAGTTGGAAGCCACTGGAAACCAGCATGTAAGGCAGCCCGGAAACAGAATTCACAGAAGCCAGCTTCCCTGGGAAGGAATGCGGGGAGAATGGACTGGAGAATGGAAGAGAGCTGGGGGCAAAAATCACAGCTGTAAGCTAGGGGAGGGAGAGGACAGCAAGTACAGGTGACTAACAGACCCAGACAGAAGGCAGGAAGGCACAGAAATGGTTGAGAGAAGGAGTGTAGGTATTATTCCCAGCCTCACCCCTGTTTTACTAGGGACCCTGTAATTTAATATTCCTGAGTGTTTTGGAAATTAAATGAGATGATGGACATAAGGTTCTTGGGCACCAAAAATTGTAGCTATTTTTACGTGCTACAAACATAGTACTAAGATATAGCATTCGTTTATTTTCAAAGTAGCTTTGCTACTTAAGAATCGTGGTGATTTAATGTAAGTGCAATGAGGAAAACAAGTCCCCCCTGGCTGAGATCTCACGGATCTCTCTTGGAACCTGTGGCCATGTGCACTGTCACCACCTGGTGGCAGCACATGGCAGTCATGGGCTCCATTGTTTGGGAGGGCACGCCTTTCAGGGGTTTATGGACAGAAAGACAACCAGACCTGATGTAGTTCCTGTTAAAGTGCACAGCACCACCTTTGAAGGTGCCCAAAAAATCAAACCTGAATCCAATTAAGGCTCTGGATCCAACTACCAATTTGCAGGAAACACAGGAAAGAAAGAAACATGTTAAACGACCTCATGACGATGTGAGCAGCAAAACCAGGAGATGGGAATATGGAATCTATCCAGGACAAACACTCTAATTTCTTTAAAATAAAATTAAAAAAAAATAGCCCTGGGTGGCATAGCTCAGTGGATTGAGCACAGGCTGCGAACCAGGCATCACAGGTTTGATTCCCAGGCAGGGTACATGCCTGGGTTGCAGGCCACAGCCCCCAACAACTGCACATTGATGTTTCTCTCTCTCTCTCTCTCTCTCTCTCTCTCTCTCTCACCCCCCCTTCCCTCCCCTCTCTAAAAATAAAT